GGAATTACATGCACTGCAGAGTCAAAAGTACATCCTTCCTAAATTTTTGAAGTACATGCGACTTCACTGCTAGGATGACCTGTACCTTGACGGACTTTCAGTATAAGTGGGAAGTAACAAGTGTGCCGTCAATCACGTGACAGGGCAAGGAGATAGTTGCGGTCTGAAGCTGAGAGTGCAAGCAAGATAGGTACTGGTGCGCTAAGAGCCGAAGTTTTACCGAGCGTGCTAAGTGCACACTAAGGAGAGCGTAGCAAGCTTTGAGTGAGTCAGCGCAGTAAGTACGGCCTGCACACCGAAGAAAGCGTACGAAGTGCAAAGCTTCTTTGAGTAACGCGCTAAGTACTAAGTGCGCGCGCTAAGTACTAAGTGCGCGCTAAGTACTAAGTGCGCGCTAAGTAGTCAGTGTAACCGCAAGAAAGCGTGCCAAGTGCAAGCTGTAACTTAGTGCGTAGCAAGCTTTGAGTGAGCGCACCAAGTACGGCGTGCAAGCTGGAACGAAAGCGTACTAAGTGCAAAGCTTTAAGTAACGCACTAGGTACTAAGTGCGGACTACGGCGTGCACAGTAAAGAGAAGCGTACTAAGTGCAAAGCTTTACGTGACGCACTAAGTAGTCAGTGCAACCTCAAGAAAGCGTGCCAAGTGCAAGCTTTAACTAAGCGCACTAAGCACAAAGTGCACGGGGAAGAAAGGGAAGTGAGTGGAAACTTTAAGAAAGCGCACGGAGCACTAGGTGCACATTGAACTCACTGTGGAAGAAGCGCAACGAGAGTGCTACGGTAGGTGCGGCAGTATTCTGTTACTTGCACGCAGCAAGCAGAAGTAGTATGAAGAGCACGACGACAATGTGGGTGCTTGTATCAGGATGTGAGTGTGTTGTAGCAAGGTCGGAGGAGGAGAAGGGATTGTAGAGGGGAAGGGGGAGAGGGAGGAGAGGAGGTGCCGACGGAAGGGAAGGTACGTTCAAGTTGCGGCAATGTGAGTTGAGGCGTGAGCAACGCCAAGTATCTCATCGACTTGGACAAGACGTAGAGCTACCTCTCCACAGACACAGACACACACACACACACACACACACACACACACACACACACACACAGAGAGAGAGAGAGAGAGAGAGAGAGAGAGAGAGAGAGAGAGAGAGAGAGAGAGAGAGAGAGAGAGAGAGAGAGAGAGAGGTTCTTTTCAGAAGAGAGTTGGCTCGTATGAGGTCAGTTTTTTCTTCCCCTTTTGCTGTGTCGGCTCCACAATTGTGTATCGGACAGAATATTCGTTTCGAAATTCAGATACGTGTCCTTCGGGACATCC